AGCTTGATACTGCATTACCCGACTGTGAGAAGAGTCCATTTGAGGTACACGCAGTTTTGTTCATGGGTTGTTCAATGCTGGGTTCCTGAAGCGAGACAAGCCACACAAGTTGGTGAGGACCCGACTGGTCCCCGCCAAACCCAGTTCCCCAGCATCAAGGCTACATGCCTGATAGCAAGCGGAACTTAATAAGCACACAAGGTATGCGGTAAATTCCTATCCTGATTCTAAAACAGTTGCCACTTCAACATTCAAAACTTCGTTCAACTAATTCGTAAACTCTTCGCTCAGCCTTTAGTGATATAATTTCGAAAAGTATATCCTACCTTCTACAAGAAACACCGTGAATCCGGCAGGAATAAGGCATAATACCAACAAGATCAGTACAATGCGGAAGACGATCAATTTTGAACTGAAATGAACAGCATAAGAACACATTCTGCCTTCGGGGGCGGTCGGGACACGACGTCGGAAACGCTAGAGTGGGGAAGGCGCTTGGTCGGGTAGGTGACAAATTAAAGCTTCGAGCCATTTTCAGGCCTCTGAAGAAGACGAGAAGGTCGAAACGTCGGGCCAATAAAAGGTTCTATCTAACAACCTCGTTTGGCAGAAATAAGTTAATATTCGACATTCTGCCTTCGGTCTTGGAGTGCACGGAAGCTACACTATACGCTGTCCTCCTTGATGCACCCCTCGCCTTCATTGCCTTGAAAACGAGGGCACGCCAATAATGAAAGCGCAACGATGGGTTTGGGCCCGCCCACACTGCAAACGTGGAGTATTTCTTCAAAGTTCAAAGGGATCCAGTGAGAACCCAGAAGACAAATATATGATAATGATCAACTTCACAATGGGAGAAAGAGCGTTTGCTGACCTGGCTTGCGCATCAAAACTTGTCCTTACTGTCTGATTCATTGGATGATTGATGGCAATGATACCAATTTTGGAAGGATCTGTAAAGGAGAAATGTTCAACGTTATTATCTGCAACAGATTGCACGATGCGGGCGCATTGCAGAGACTACTCACGACTTTCCAGTAGCTTACCTTGAGAATTGGCTTTTTCTATATTCTATAGAATTCTAACAAGCCCCTCAAACAGTAGTGTCCTTAAGTAATCTAGGGATATCGACGCTGAACCTGCTTTTTTATGATAAAGGAGAAGTAGCTTCCACTCTCTCAGATTTCCTAGGTTTCACAGGTTTAGTTTACGCTTAGGGAGTAAGGTTCAAATCCCGAAGTTTGTGATGAGAACGAGAGCTGGCACACGTCTGCGTAAATGCTACATCAGTCGGTAGCACAGTGCCCTAATTTGTCCAGACGACGATCTTTCACAAGCGAAAAGCTTATGAGTGTGCACTGGAGCCTGGAACTATGAAATGCAGGAATGTTACTAGCTCGTTATGCATTACCACGCATTGAAAAAATCTTGGACACTATACAGCCTTGTTCGCAGCGAATGAAGGCGCGTGTCAGGGAGGATCGGTTTGGTGCGGCATTAGGTCGTTTTCCACCAGTTGCTGAAGCGAGCAAAGCACAAGACTGTATCATCCCGTTCGTATCAGTCTTTTCAACCGGTGTCGTTTCCCCGCTTCAGCAGCTGGTGGAGAATGGATTTGGTGCCGCCTCAAACTCATCCAGCCTGACACGCCCTATCATTCGCAAGAAACCAGACGTTAGGCATAGTTTAACGTTGTGTGGAGGATGTCTTCTGACTTCACACTAGCAACGTATATTACTTACAAGCCAATAAACGTCTGCCGACACCTTTATACTTAGTGAATGATGTGGTAAATTTGGTCTTTCAGCGCTCCCCACTAAAGAAGATAATTTGGTAAACAAGCAAACATTACCTGTATCTTTAGACTCGACTCTCAACAAAGCGTTGCTCAGAAAGCTCGTAAATATCGGCAGAGACGTGTACAGCTTGTTGTTGAACCATGCCTGCAAAAAATTTTGAGATCATTGGCGCGTTTCTAAAGTCTCGACAGCCTTGCGGGCTGAAGTGTCAGGGCTTCGCGTCGAATTCCTAGCAGTGACTTCAGAACCCGCGCTTTCTTTACCGCACATTCTGACCACCCAGGAGTGTCTCAAGCATCGACCTTCTCAAGGTTTACATTTGTACTCTTTCATCCTGGAGCAAAGTGGGCAAAACGAAAGCCAAATAAAGATGCATTCAATATCTTGCCTATGGTTTCAACAAGTACTAGTTTAATTTTGTAATAGTTACTATATTAATACAATCTTGAGTCCTCCTACGCTATATCCTAAAGATTCGCCTAAAATGGTACTGGACCCCCTTTCCCCCCTGCTTGTGCTATCATGCACGCGATCATCATGTTATAGCGGAACGTCTAGAAAATTTTATTCCTTCTTGAGCACGTTTAACTAACCTTAACATTTTCCTGTGTCTCCATGGACCCCAGTACACCGGCCATGAAATCCGAGACAGTCATGTTTTTTAGAAATGGATCCACTAACGCAGGAGCATCACCTCCAGGAGTCATGTGCATGTTAAGAGCAGCAGCTGTTTTGTTGATTCCTAAACGCTACAGTGTTTAGAGGAATATCTTTTCAATATCAAGGAAATCTTGTTATACTGGAAAATCTACGAGCAAACTTCAATCTCACCTGAGACCAAGGTTATGCCAGCCCTGGAGCTCCGTTTGGACTTGACCAGAAGTTCTTGCTCGCAGACTAGTATGACCCAAAGAGAAGCCACCCAAACTGAAAAAATTCAAACTTCAATCTCCCTAATGAGATGCCAGATTTCACACGAGTACTTTATAGTTTTTTGTAAGACTACTCGCAAGTTCACTTGCTTTCGAATGAAAGTGTAAGCTCTGCAGGAGGTGTATATGTCATGTAACACCAACAGGCATGGAAAGAGGGGGACCGCTGCTTATGATACGGCACGAACTGGGAAGGAAAGAGCGCTGGACAGGCTTTGTGCACGCGATATAATAGTACCATTGCTACGTACACCTGGTATGCAATCAAATCAGGGGAATTTCATACGAGAAAAGCTTCGATGTCCCCACAATCTGCCTGCGAATACAGAGTCTTCGAACCTCAAAGGTGGACCTTTCCCATCTCCACTGTCTACTAGTAAAATTCAGCGAAACGGTCCATGAGGGGGTACGTGCACATACTATACCCAAAAGGAACTGGCAGAAACAATTCTTCCACAAATTCAAAATTCCACGTTACCAACACCAATACAGATCCAATCCGCTTTTCGCTGTCGATGGTGCACGCTGTCCCGCTGAGCATTCCTCAAGGCTGTGATTTGATCGGATTGTCAAGAAAAACACCCTCGTGAGCGGAATTTTACACCGAATATAATTTTCACCTTTTTGGAATCAGAAAACATTTGAATGTCTACAAAGAACTCACACATCTATCATGGTGTCGTTAGCCCACCATCGAGTTGCCAATCTCATTTGAGAGATATTTCGGTAGGACATATCTAACACACGCATTGTTGTGTTCAACGTGACGGAGGGGATCGAGTCGAGTGGATAGTTTTTCTGAACAATGAATTTTGAACTTCACTTTTTTGTGTTCACCCTATAATAGCGCGTACATTCGTCGACGGTGCAGATGCTGAGGCGTATCAGAGAGCCCGTTTTCACCAATTGTTGTCGCTTGCTCGCACCAGCATTGACGGTGAACAGGATGGTGCAACGCCAAATCAATCCCCTTCCTCTGACACGCCCAGCGACTGCGGCGAATATGGCTGTATGCACATCAAGTGCCTCACTATCTGTTGTTCTTTTATCGAGGTCAGGTTTTCTCTAACTTTTCTGAGTAGGCAAGTAGAGGCGACAACAAATGGGTGGGAACGAGCTAGCTCTGCGTCAAGTCCGCCCTCTCTGGCACGCCCCGGCGTCCACAGCGAACTAGACTCTAATATAGGCGCGAGATGTGAGCAAAGTGCCTATGTGCCCCTGAACGAGACAAAGCCTCACAACTTTCTCTGATTCAGCGGGCGTCAAATGAGAGAGATGAAGATTGGGCCCACTGTTGCAAGATGAGAAGTTTATTTTTAAATTGGTGCTTCATAGAAAACCCGCAGAACACCCGAAAAATGCTGTACCGTACACGAAAGTAGTATGGAA